TATATATATGTAGTCGGACCTCGATTTAACGAATTTATAGGGACCGACAATATTATTCGCAAAATCGGGGATAATTCATAATATCGAACGCAAAATGAAAAAAAAAAAAAATTGACAAACTTTATGAAATATTCGAACATCTCTAATAAGCAAACACAAAAAATAAATAGAAATCTGACACTTTTTATTTAGGCACTTAAAATGCAGTGAATGATTACGCTTTGATTAATTTGAAATTTTGAAGCTTAAAAGTTTGCTTATTTTCTTGATTTCTTACTTTAAAAAAGTTCCTTTTCGACTTCATGAAGAGAAGAAATTTACATCTTGCTGCATTAGGTATGTCCACATATCTTGACCGCTTAACTTGTTTGTTTCAGTTAAAAACTTTCCACTGTTTCCAAAGCATCAGAAAAAGTAACAATTTTCACTGGAGTCAGAAAAGTAAAATTACACTCAGAAAAGTAACAATTTTCATTTTCACTCATTATCATCGACTTCTCAGTAGCTATTCGTTGTTTCCTATAAGTCTACTTCATTAACTTCATAAAATTCATTAAATCGCAAAATTCGGTAAACAGGGGTTCGTTAAACGGGGGGTTAGACTTTATATCCCTTTTCTTTTATAACAGCTGATTTTTGTTCGTTCACCAAGACAATCCTTGATGTCGTTTGTTAATAGTTAATCAATAACAGTTAAGTTCTAGATCTCCCTCTTGTATAGGTTATCTAAATTTCAACTTAAAATACGAAGCCTTATTCCATGAAGTTAACTAAAAAATTCTGCCTGAAAGTGATTATTTATTGAACAACGAAAAAATGGTCGCATTGAAAAACTTTAAACTATCAAAATCTAAAAATATTCTCTCAAAAATACGCATTCTTTCAATTGTATGTATGTGGCATTTTAGATTTACTTGATTGATGCCATCTTGTACAACTCAAAACCCATTGACAACCATGACGCTTCAAAAACTAACACAAAATTGAACAGTAGCAAGTACCAATTATGAGGGTCATATTGTTAAATTTTATTTATTTAATAACAAATATAAAAGTATCGTACTAAATTTTAATTTCGGATACTTACCATAATATTATTTTATTTTATAACCGTCGTTGAACAGCCGACCAAATTTTCAATATACAATGTTCAACTCCGTAGCCTTGTAATTTTGAGTCCAATCCTAATAATCTCCTGGATTAAATAATTGGGAGAAATTTGCCTTCGTGGAGGACTTTTTGATGGAACTAACCCGCATTTGCGTTACATGGAGAGGAAAGTCACGAAGAACCTCTCATGGTTAGC